GAGAAGAATGGTGCTGAGAAAGGTTAACTCCAAAATGGGGAAGCAAAACTGGTAATTAGATAGAAACACCAAATGACAAATCAACAGCTGCTAGAACAAGGAAAATGGCACGAAAAATTGCTAGGGGATGAACAAAACAGTTTGGCTAAGAGATTATTGTGAATTTAAAGAGCAAACAAAACCTAAGCATCTGCAAAAGGGGATAGGGCTAGATCAAAGATTTCAGCAGTGCTGGAGAAGAAGAAGGTCACTTTCATCTAAATACTTTTAATAATGCAAATGACAGCCCCAGACCCACAGCAATTCATACAGAAATAGTTAGAATTTCTAGAGAATTAAAGAGGCATTTTATATACACAATCTCATTAATTCTCACAACTCTGGAAGATAAATCAACTTAATTGCTCCCATATTAAGAGTTATGAATAAGAGATATGCTCTCCTATGAGGACATGGCAGTTCATGAAGAAAGTGCAAGTTCTTAAGCTACTACAGGATATACACCAAAACACTGTATCTAGTACAGTTGTACTAATGTCTGTGCAAGCTTCACTTTAGTATCAGGAAGTAATTTAAAGAATATATTCATGAGGATTTTTCATTACTTGGATGCTTTGACATAATATGAAGTTATAATATGCAATCTGTCCACTGTTCTGTTCTTGGCCCAAGATTACATCAGTTTGGTATAAAGTTGTTCTCCTCTTCTACTCTAGAGCAGCAGTCCTCAACCTTGGCAACTATAAGACTTGTGGACTTCAACTTTGCTGGCTGAGGAATTCTGGGAGCTGAAGTCCACAAGTCTTAAAGTTGCCAAGTTTGAGGACTGCTGCTCTAGGGAATTTAGAAAAGAGCCACAAATCTCAGGGAGGTGTATTTATGTTTAACTGTTTGCATGGTAAGAGAAGCAACAGATTTAATCTAATCATGCATTTTTTTCTTATTAAGGTTAGCTAACATATTAAAAGGAGAATAGTAAATATTCAGGCTGTGCAAATGATTTGGAGGATACTCTTTTAAAACAAAGCACCTCTCTTTGACGCAGTAAAGTCATTGCCTGCTTTGCAGTTGTCTGTGCATGCTATACTTCTGGGCCTGCCAGTGAACTGGCTTTGCATGTACAGATACTCTTTGACTTATGACTGGTTAGGTTTTCCCTGTCACCCCACCAAAGTGAAAGTTTAACAGTGAAGAAGCAAGACAGAAAGAATATTGGCACTTTCAAACTTTGGTGTTCCATAGACAACCAAGAAAATAAATACTACATACAATCAAGATAATAAACAAATGGACACAAAACAAATCATTTCAGTATTCTCACTCAAGCCACAAATGATCAGGTTAAATCATTATATCATGGACACATTATGAGAAAACCTAGATTCTTTGAGAATTTCATAATGTTAGGAAAAGTGCAAGGAAAGAGAAGAAGAGAGCAACCAGCAGAAAGGTGGCTACTGTAGACTTGATTGTAACAGTTATGAGTGCACTGTTGGGAACTTCAAAGACCAGGTTGGAGGCAAATTATCTTGAGGAAGACCTATTTATGTGATCACTAAGCACTAATACTGACTGAAGTAAGATAATGGTTAAGCAGAAATTTAACCCTACAATCTATTAATCCAATTTAATATTCTTTAGTCTACTGCAATGTTCAGCTACTTCTAATCTTTGCACACTACAAGGCACTGGACTAATTGTCATATTCAATGGATTAATGGGAAGAAGAGGTATCCATTAAAGATCACTGTCCATTAAATGACTACTAGAATGCTTCAAACCAAACAACAGACTTGGTGCTACTTGCTGCTACTGCAGGAATCTGAAAGACTAGTGAAGAGAGGAACAGGTGGCTTGGTTGGTAAGCTGTATTAATTGTTTACATGCCACTAAGGAAGCTGTTAGGAATGGGGAACACATTGTTAATGAGGCTGCCGTGTGTCACCTGATTGATTTTATCTATTATACCCAAGTCTGGCAAACCAAGATCTGTTGAGTTGAGGGTTTACTTTGTTCTAGTGCAATATTCTGTTTGCTATAAACAAATTTACATTAAGATTTAGTTTGTATACAGCACTGCAGATGTTCAGTGACTAATTAAAACAGGCATCTTTCATGCTTTCCTGGTGTCATGTTACCTTTTCCCACATTAATAAAACTAAAATAACCATAAACGCCTGTCTGTTCAGTTGCCTGTGTGTTTAAAAGCAAAATGCCAACTCTTAAATGTCTGATAGTAATGCCAAGGTATTTAAAACTACATTTTAAGCACAATGTGTATACATATAGATAGAGAGAAGTATAATCTATTGCTATGGTTACTTATTTTTGACTGTAAGGGGAAATAAACATGTTGAATATAAAGAGCTTTTAAATTCAAAATATTTCTGTTTCCAGTGCATTGTCTTTAAACAAAATAAGCAGGATCAATGCTACAGCAAGGAAGAAATCTGTTCTTTTCTTCTTTTTCCCTCTTTTCTTTTCTTTTCTTTTCTTTTCTTTCCCCTTTTAAGTCAACAAGGACAATCTTCTCATTCATCTACAGATATATTCAAGCTCCTAGGATTAAAGAAAGCCCTGCTTTACTCCTAATAGATATTTGTCAACAAGCCCTAGTCCTGCCTCACTCCCCCCACAAAGAGTGACTTTTCCAGAAGCAACTCTTCTTTCATTTAGAACATGGTTAATTGTGTTAGTTGTGAAGATTACCAGTCCTAGTTGCGCTCTTGCTTTCTTCCTAGAAAAGAAAGAAAAGGAAGATAAGAGGGAATAAGTTAACTAATAAGAGGAAATAAACTCAAGGAGAACACCAAAGAATCATGTCCAGCCATCCCCTGTTTGCTCTTATCAGGCTTTTTCCCCACCTCCAGACTGTTCTTTCAGAACATGAGATATTGTTGATGCTGACATTCCTGGTTAAGGCCACTTCTAACTCATGTTTCATGCTATACTCTTTCTATATTCTATTTTATTTTCTTCTTCCTCCCATCTGCTTTTTCTTTAAGGAAGGATATAACACTCTCTAGTGATATGCATTTGAATTTTTTTTCCAAAGAAGATAATGTTGGTGAAGTTCTCACTTTGGAGTAGATGACTGTTACACTGATTGTTTACAAGGTGGCCTACAGTCCACTGCATTGGCATCAGTTCAATCATCTGCAGCTTCCCTGTTTTCCCATCGTTTCCCATAATTCCTTGCTTCTGTTGGGAAATCCTTATAGAATAGGATCAGTAAGTTTAAGAAAAAAACACAGAGCAGAAAACAGCAATATCTGTAATAACCCAGTAATAATACCAACAAAATCAACCAAGAGAAATTGGAAAGGAATTCTAAAGTACCTGGACTACTTTGCTCAACAGAAGCCACTATCACAGAGCAAGAAAACATTTGAAAAATGGCAAGATGATAGAAAAGATGCATGGCAGATTAATTCTGTATATACTAGCTACAATAAAATTGTTGTATACACAGTGTTGGAAGAACAATGAAATGCCCTTAGTAAAGGATTGGATTATGAAAATGTCAGAATTCACAGAAATGACAAAACTGACCAGAGGAAAAAAATGACAAACTTTTTTGAAAGACTAGAAACTTTACAGGGCTTTTATGCTGAAAAATATCCGGCTCAATAGAAGTAACTGCAAGAGGGATCTTAGAGTCCTAGTGGACAATCACTTAAATATGAGCCAATAGTGTGCTGCCAAAAAAGCCAATGCAGTCCTAGTCTGCATTAAAAAAGGAACAGAATCAAGATCATGTGAAGTGTTAGTATTACTTTATAATGCTCTGGTAAGACCACACTTGGAATATTACATCCAGTTTTGGTCACCATGATATAAAAAAGATTCTAGAAAGAGTGCAGAGAAGAGCAACAAAGATGATTGGGGCTGGAGTCTAAAATATGAAGAACAGTTGCAGGAATTGGGTTTGTCTAGTTTAATGAAAAGAAGGACTAGGGATGACATGATAGCAGTGTTTCAATATTTAAGAGGCTCCCACAAAGAAAAGGGGGTCAACCTATTCTCCAAAGCACCTGAAGGCAGAACAAGAAACAACAGATGGAAATTAATCAAGGAGAGAACCAGCCTAGAATTAAGGAGAAATTTCCTGATAATTAGAACAATTAATCAATAGACTGACGCCTCCAGACATTGTGGGTGCACCAATGGTGGAAGTTTTTAAGAAGAGATTGGACAACCATTTGTTTGAAATGATATAATAAGAAAAGGGTTGGACTAGAAGACTTCTAAGATCTCTTCCAACTATGTTATACTGTTATTCTGTTAAGAAAAAAAATGATATGATGATCTAAGGATTTGAAGATTAAGAAGGATGTGGATTAAAAGAGGAGCTGAGGATCTTTTATAGTATCTAAGAAGAAGGAAAGAAAACTTTGTTGAAAAGAAGGTTTTGAAATTTTATATATTTCTTAACTTTAGTTTCTTTCTCTTTCATTTCTTACAGTTTTTTGTTTGTTTCCTTCTTTTAACTTTTTTCAACCTCTATTTTTCTATGGAAAAAAATCTTAATAAATATAAATATTTGTTTTAAAAAAGAGAAATGGCAACAGGGCTTTCAGATACAGCACTAACATTATCAAAAAATGCTGCCTGTTCCAAATGAAATCTCTGCCTTACATCAGAATAAAATTATTGCTGATCAGGATATTTTAGTTACATGAATTTACCCCCATGGGGAAAGTACTCTAGATGTCTTAGCCATGAGGTCATCATTCCTTTCTCTGCATAGGCCAGTTACATCTTCTTCTCCCTTTTATTTTACACCATTAAGATCAAGCTGGTAGAAGAATATTACAGAATAATATTATAGGCTATTTATTAATCATTATTACAGCATAGCCATAAAGCTTATTGGAGTTGAGAGAGAGAGAAAACAATATTTTTAACAAGGATGGCGTAATAGTTAATGTAGCATGAAGAGTAAAATGTGATACAATGGGCTTAAAAGTTTAATATACTGTACAAATAATCTTATTTACCTTCTGAGGTTTTTTCATTGGTTGCAATAACTCATGCCAAGAGAAAAGACCTGCTCCTGATCAGGAAATTTGCCAGTTGTTTTCTGGCTCTCAGAAGAAATGACATCATTGAGTGAAGTTTCAAAAAGTCTACCTGGAGATTGAAAGCATGCTGATATGTATCAGGAAGAACTGTGTACCGGACAATTGAAACAGGTACTAAAAATACTCAGGTTCTCAGATATTGAATGAAAGAATTAATTACAGTTAAAAAAAAACAATTTATCTGGAAGTTAATTCCAAGCTCATCTTAATAAAGCCCACCTCTTATATTGTTGCTTCTTTATACATTAAGAACAGCAGTCACTCTTTCTCCTTGCTTTGGCAAATGCTCTGAGAAATCACTGAGCAACAGTTAAACCAGAGAGCTTGAAGTCCTCCTCTGCTTTGTGCCTAAGGAAGGGTCATTGCGCAATATTGGCTTTCTGATATTGTGTTTCCCCAAAATATGATCCATGGACCAATATACATAAAGTATCTCACTCTCTTTCGGTTCTGATCTCAGCACTGCAGCTGTGATCTAGCCAGCCCCTTTGTCAGAGAGGCAAGCTTCCTTCAGAGATGGTTGTACTGGTATCTAGACAAAATAATCTTAGAAAATCCACTTTACGCACATCAAAAAGCCTGTCTGCCCTTTTGTGACCAAGAATGGTTCACAAAAAGATGTTACCATAACAGCACAATTTGGTAAACCCCAGTATATAATAATTATGTGTATAAATAATGGAAAAATTATTCTCCTGTTATCTCTAAATAACATGGCCTAAAATTGTCATCTATTACATTGCCAAAAATCATTAAGATTTGCTATCACAAAAGGCAGATCTAATATCCCACAAAGTTATAGAAGTTACAGCCTTAATTAACCTTTGTGAATGAAACTAACCAAGGTTTTAAATAGTGTCCAAGACTGTATAGGTCTTTAAAAAAACAAAAATGATTAAACCCTCATTAATATCTTTCAGAAAATATAATTCTGTGGGTGACACAGACACTATTTTTACAGCTGTTCTTCAGAGAAAGAATAAGTTTCTCTTCATTAAAGACTAATGAGTGACATTACATTTAAGTGCTCACATTAGATATGCTTCTTTGAATTTAATGATGAAGCAATGAGGCCTTTAATTAAGTAGTCAAAAGTCTCCACTGGGAGAAACAAAACAAATTTATCTGTAGCTTTTTCCTATTTTCTAAAAATAATAATAAAAATGAATCAATTTGCTAGATAATCTATGTTTTTAACTTGCTAATCTTCTCTTCAGAAAATTTGTCTTCAAGTTTTGAAATAGATCTAACCACATGGGAATAGAAAAGTCCTATGGTACTTAAGTTAGAAACTATCTAATGTATATCCATGAAAGCTGAATGAAAGGGTGGAAAAATTAGTGTTTCTCCTAGGATTGTGATGGTCAGGGAAGCAAAACCACAATCTGTTGATTTGTTATAGATAGATAATCTCCTCATTACATATATCATTCAGTATTACAGATAGATTCTTCTGTTTGTCAAATCACTAACGTAGCTGTGGCCTTGCTGATTGGATCTATTGCATTCAAACTACCCAGTGCTTGCCGGGATTTGTTATAACTGTAAGTTTTATCAGGGGTGCAGCTCAAAACGTAACTGAGGCCTTGCTGATTGGATCTGTTGCATTCAAACTACCCAGTGCTTGCTGAAAATTATATAACTAAAAATCAAAACAGCAGCGGTACAGTCAGGGCAAGTGCATCTGAGATTCCTTGTATCTAAGAATGTCTGGCATGGTTCAGTGCAACATTTGTTTTGCAGCTGTCTTTTGCAGTACCCTTTTCAATCTTGGAAACTGTCCTATCTGTAAACAAATCACTAGTCTACAAGGACAGATTGTTTATCTAGGGTCTGTAATCTCTGCTCTTCAGGCAGAAACTAGGTGTCCGGTTCAGCCCTTTTACTCCATTGAGCCTCCGCACTATCAGCCCCCTCTACCACAAAGATCCTGCAGGAGAAGGGCAGTGTGGACAACTGTGGGATCTGGCAGGGTGAGAGCTGTGAACTACAAACACAAAGCTTTCGGTGTATCCCTGCACAACAGATACAGTGCCCTTGCTGACCTTTATAGGGACATTAAGGAGACAGGTAAAAGTATTTGTGATGATAACTCAAATAAGCAGGGGATCTTGGTCCAAGATGAAGAACTTGTTTTCAACAGGGAGAAGTGCAAATCAGACATTACACATCAGTCATGCAAGAACAAAAAGGCACCCAAAAAGAGAAGCCACCTTCTGGTTGGTGATTCAATTATAATGGATGTAAATTTAGGAAAGGACACAGAGGTTTTGAAAGAGGTCAGGTGTCTTCCAGGTGCTACTGCCAGCAGGGACAAGAAGCGTATTTGTAAAATAATCAAGAATGCCAGCAAGGACTGTGATGTGGAGGCCATTGTACATCTTGGCACTAATGATCTGTCTCAAAAAAGATGTACTCTCTGTGCAGAATGATTTCCAGAGCCCGGGGCAGGAACTTAGCAGAATAGGTTGTAGGCTTATTTTTTCAGATGTTCTACCAGTGCATAAGGAGCAAAATGGAAAAGGCCAGCATATAGCACAATTCAATATGTGGCTAAAGGAGTGGAGTAAAGGGGAAGGCTTTGGTTATATTAGTCACAATGTCAGCAGCTGGTCCAATGAAAAAACATACAAAAGAGATGGTTTGCATCCATCAAAGAAAGGGACTGAGTTACTCAGCTATAAATTCACAGATTTTCTGGAGGAATATTTAAACTAAACAGCAGGGACAGTGAGCTAATTGATACAGAACATCCCTGTCCCTGGAAATCTAAAAATTATAGGGCTATCAGTGCATGTAACATAGATGTATGTGTGGACAAGAAAATCAACCTTGCTGTCAAGCAAAATCAAGCTTCTAATAGCGAGTGCCACACAAAGTGCACTAACCAAACAAGTGGTAAGACAATAGGGGAACTCAGGCACCACACAGATTATGTAGAAAGTAAACACAGAGCCAGTCATAAAGGACTCAAATGTCTATACACCAATGCACAGAGTATGAACAGCAAACAGGGTGAACTAGAAATTCACGTTAATGAGGGCAGATATGATATTGTTGCCATTATGGAAACATGGTGGGATGAAACTCACAAATGAAACACACAGCTAGAGGGATTTAAATTATTTAAAAGAAACAGACCAAATAAAAGAGGAGGTGGAGTTGTTCTCTATGTAAGAAATAACTACATCTCTATAGAAATAGAGCACAACAACAATGAAAACTGTCTTGAATGCATTTGGGGTAATATAAAACGGGGGGAAAATGACATTGCCATAGGTGTATACTATAGGCCACCCAACCAAACAGAGAAAATAGATGAACATTTTGCTAGTCAGCTAACTAAGGTATTTAGGAAGCACATCACAATAGTAATGGGGGTCTTTAACTACCTTGACATCACTGGGAGACAAACTCTGCACCAAGTGGAAGATCAGACAGATTCCTGACAAACTTAGCAGACAACTTTGTCTCCCAAAAAGTAGAGAAGGGAACTAGGGGATTAGCCATTTTGGATCTAATTCTCACTAACAGAGATGAAATGATAGAACATGTTGAAGCCATGGGAACCTTGGGAGGAAGTGATCATGCAATATTGGAATTCAACATTATGGAAGTACAAACACTAGAACACAGTCAAACTAGAGTCTTGGACTTCAAGAGAGCTAATTTCAATAAACTTAGAGAGGGTTTGGGAAGGATTCCATGGATGAGAATCCTCCAGGGGAAAACAATTCAAGATGCTTGGGAAATTTTGAAAAGTGAGATAATAAAAGCCCAGTCTAGCACAATACCAACAAAGAGGAAAAATAACAGCTCTCAAAAGAAACCAGCATGGCTGCACAAAGAACTCTCTGATAAATTGAAAGATAAAAAGGACAAGTATAGAAAGTGGAAAGAGGGACACATAACTAAGTCAGAATATCAGCAAATAGTCAGAGCCTGCAAAGATGAAGTGAGGAAAGCTAAGGCTCAAAATGAACTAAGTCTTGTGACCAAAGTCAAAAATAACAAAAAAAGCTTCTTTCAACATATATATATAAAAGAAAAAAGTGAAGGAAATGATTGGTCCATTAGTGGGTGAAAGTGGCAAGAAGGTGACAAGCAACAGGGAGAAAGCGAAACTATTTAACTTGTTTTTCGCATATGTCTTTACACAAAGGGAAAAAGCAGACCAACCTATCAAAAATAGTGCCATAAAAAACAGAATAGAAACACGTTAAGATAGGCAAGAAAATGGTAAGTGAGCATCTGTCCAGTCTAGACGAGTTCAAATCACCAGGACCAGATGGATCACATCCCAAGGTTCTCAAGGAACTGGTAGATGTGATCTCAGAACCACTGAACTATATTTTTCAAAGATCCTGGAGCACTGGGGAACTACCAGAGGACTGGAAAAGAGGTGATGTAGTTCCCATCTTCAAAAAAGGGGAAAAAGTGGATCCAGGAAATTACGGATCTATCAGCCTGACTTCAATACCTGGGAAGATTCTGGAAAAGATAATCAAACAACGAATCAGCAAACACCTACAGGCAAACCAAGTCATTACTAGAAGCCAACATGGATTTGTCAAAAACAGATCATGTCAGACAAATCTTATTGCATTCTTTGACCAAGTGACAAAATTAGTGGACCAGAGGAATGCTGTGGATATAATTTACTTGGACTTCAGTAAGGCATTTGATAAAGTAGATCACAATCTACTACTTGATAAGATAGAAAAATGTGGGTTAGACAGCATCACCACCAGATGAATCCATAGCTGGCTGACCGGCCATACTCAGCATGTGGTCCTCAATGGAACCACATCTACATGGAGGGACGTGTGTAGTGGGGTGCCCTAGGGCTCTGTTCTAGGCCCAGTGCTCTTCAACATCTTCATCAATGATTTGGACAAGGGGATAGATGGGGAACTCATTAAATTTGCAGACGACACCAAGTTGGCAGCCCTTTGTCCAAAATGGTATAGGGTTACCTGCCTGAGAAGGGGGCTGGACTTGATGACCTCCATGGTCCCTTCCATCATCATCATCATCATCATCATCATC